AAAATTGTCTAACTGTTACGTGTGTATACACACACACACACACACACAAATATATAGCAACACGTTTCTTTTTCTATCATTCTTGACGGCAAAGCGGAGCCCACCTTTCATTCATATTCGCTTCACTTCACATTCACTGCTACACTTTACACTACAGTCACGTTCGTCCGCGGACCTCATCTATAGCCGTGGTTTCTTCCCAGTCAAATACCACCGTCACCGGTGATGCGTCCCGCGGATAACGGTTTTCCACTGCGCACCACGAGCAAGACGGAAGGCACGAGACCCTGAACTACAAAGCGCGAGGTGCGCGGCGGCGGATCAGAGGTGCGAACATAATCCTGCAAGCTGCCATTAATAACAGCCATAAAAAGGAAATATATTGAGACTATAAAATTGAAATTTCTCTCTAAAAAAAAAAAAAAAAAAGATCAGCATTTAAAATAATTTACACGCGCGCATAAGGTCACCAGAGGGTGATACTGTCCAAAACCTACTATTTAAAAACCATGACACGAGATCATACAACAAAGCGCTATTTAACCTATAGCGTTACCATAGTAACAAAGTTAAAAACACCTTCCGCTGTGACAGAGAGACAGACACCTTGAACGGAGTCATTTGGCTCCTTGTAAAGGCGGCTCGTGTCTTACCTCTGTGAACACTGATGGCCAAAGTTAAAATCCAGAGGCAAGTCATGCTGAAGCCCATCTGCACCTCTGTCACTCAGAAAACACCATCAATTCATCTTCCTCACGCTGCACTGTGAAACCCCGCGAACCGGTGCTGGGAATGTCATTCGGTCTGCGTTCATTCATTCAGCGCGTGCTTCTTTTCTCCTCAGCAGAAGCGGGCGAGATGTGCGCTGGAAAATCTCTTTCTTCCAGCAAATCTCAGTTTTTGATTGTTGAGGAGAGACGCAGCGCTCTGAGATCACCGGAGGAATCGCTCGGTACTGCGCCTATGGAGCTCTCGCTCTCTCTCTCTCTCTCTCTCTCTCTCTCTCTCTCTCATTGCGTTTGTCGTCCTTATACGCTGTTCAATGTCACAGCTCGGCAGATCATATACACATGCGGATATAAAATGTCTTATCTTCACCGTTTAAAATCTGCCGGCTGTTCAATCAGACGACCATGATTAATCAAATAAGTAGCAGTTGAGAATTGGCATCCCTATCATCATACATACATAGAGGAGACCGGGGCTAGTTGTCACAGGGGCAGGTTGTCACAAGGGCTACAGTCGTCCAGCTGCAAGTGTTTGATTTCTCCAGCATGTTGATTTTAAACACCTGGGCTGGCTGGTACACAACTGTCATAAATTCAGATTGTTTTTGTTAACACTCTTTTCTAATTTAAAATGACAAATACTATAATATTTTTGAAAAGCAATGGGGTAAACAGCCTATAGGGAAGGGAATAGCCTATAATAAAACCTCATATGGACGTAGATTTGACTAAAAGGCTGTGAAGGTTAAAACTGTGCTCTCACGACAAACATTTTTTTTTCCACGATGGCAGGTTGGGGCAAGCTGTTACATGTGTTTTAGCCTATGTGTTATGGCCACACCTTGCCTGTTTTTTTTTTCTAATGCATTTTCAAATTTTTTTTTGTTTCGTGAATTGTTTTTCATAACTCTTGTACTGTTCCTTTTTTATTTTAAATACAGGTGTATAAGCTGTAGATTTATCTAGGATACTTTTAATATCTTCAGTATTCGCAAATTATTGCCAGTAAACAGCAGGTGTCCAATGTGACAACTTGCCCCATATTCCTATATAACAGTGAAAATATGCAAGTTTTTTTTTTAAGTCAAGAGTTTTAAATTTATGGCAATAAAAAGATATATGAAATATATTCCACATGTGTATATTATGTATTTAAAAAAGTTATTACAAATGTGTATGTATGTATATATATATATTGCATGTTTTTTTATGTTTGAAAATGTAGAATTTATTTTTAATAATAAGGTCAGATCGCTTTACAGATCACTTTTCTCGTAAATATTACGTTTAAATAACAAAATTCGAAGGATTCTTTAGGATTAAAATACATTTCAATAATTATAACAATAACCACTGAAATTAGGTTACCCCAAATGTATATTCATTTTGAAGTTAACAAGGGATCTCCTTTTGTAACAAAAAGCAAATACTGTCTAAACGGACCATCAAACATACGGAACCCACAATGATGATGATCTCAGAGTTCAGTCCCGTTCAGATGGCATCATCGGCCATAATACAAATCAACATACATGACAGAATAGCTCCACATGATATGAATATTTATTCAAAAGGAAGACTTATCATTCAAAAAAAAAAAAAGAATCTAACATAACTCCATTAACAGAATGTAATAATACTTTTAGTGTTTCCTGCATCTGTTTGGTGGGCCAGTGTGAAAATCTTCCACGCATGTAAACACAGACGCGCAATAAATGTGTGCCGGTGTCTGTGCTCACTTGAGTGTGTAGACTGTTCAAGGCAACACTAATCACATCAAATCATAAAAAAATGGCAGATTATCAAACAAAACAAAAGTCATGGAAACTATAATCTACACCTCCCAATCTAAGACATTTATTTAGTCATCATAAAAATGATAAAAGGAACATAAAATTACAAACAACAGTATACACATCTACAGCAGAATAAACGTAAACAACAATTTAAAATTAAGCACTGAGTTGATTGATAGCTAACTGGAAGTTCTACTGCTTGTACAGGACAGAGAAAGAGAGAGAGAGAGAGAGAGAGAGAAATGGGTGGGAAATGAAATGCATTATCGCACATCTTGTGGCAGTCGATTGTAACTGCTTTTCTCACAAACTCATTGTCTGCTGGCATTAAAGGGGCATGTGGAGGGAGTCTGAAGGTAGAGGACGGCTTTTGGTCGTAATCGGTCAGTTGCCACTTAGTTGTGACCTAGATACGCATCAAACGAATGACCCTGTCATCCCACGTGAACAAAAACACGCCTAGACTTCCATATACATGGCAGATGTGATTTAAGAGCCCCTTTTATTGGGGCCAAATGACATTGTATCATTGAAACGTGCATTTCTTGCAAAGCTGCTTTGAAACGAGTTCTACTGTGAAATAAAGGTGAATTGAATTAAACTGAAAATTTAAAACACGTTTTATTCAGAATTATGACGTTTATTTTTCAGTTTAACACTTTATCTCAGTTTTCCAATAAATAACCACACCTGCCTCTTTTCCCCAGTTCCGCAAGTTCAGAGACCAAATCTTCAAATGTTCAATTTTTGCCCATTTAAAGACAATAAATGTTTGGAAGAGGGTCTAGGTGTAATACAATTGAAAAATGTCACAAGCCAGATTCAAACATGCATTGCTTGCATGAGCACTATAACTCAACACCTAAGTCACAGTTCCAACCTTCTCCTCTAGGTAAATAGCTACTGAAAAGGAATAGGTGATATAGAAATGACAACTGGCCACTTTCTGTAATCATATCAGTTACCAGATCTGCATGGATTAGGAAAAAAATCAGCTGGATACATAGTGAAGCAGTATTCCTGAATAACAAATTTAAGCACAACATATTTAAAAGTGTGTAATTTCTGAGCCACCAAACTGAATCAGACTGCATGTCATTGGTTGAGCCAAAGTTATATGTTAGGAGGTTGGGATGCTCAAAAAACAGAGCAGTGTTTTGATAGTGCCACAGGGAATCAACATACAAATGGCTTATTTACAGTCTATTCACATTAAGATTGGATAGGAGTAAGGATTTTGGCATACTAAAAATTACACACATCACCTTTAAAAATCCAGATTTAATCAACTGTTTTTTATTCAATAGAATCGCCTCAGTTTATTGCATGATGCAAAACCCCCTTCGAATGTCACTATGGTCTGTGGTTACAATGATGGTGTAAGTCTAGCAATAATCTAGCTTTAAGAACAGACTGAAAAGAGGTGTGGAAGAAAGTGAGAATATGATCAGTAAGAGAAAGAGACAGAGAGAGAAAGAGAGCAGTAGTTTGTGTTACCCTGCTTTTTCTGAGAGTCCCACCACTGAAGAACACAGAAGATTCATTCCTGAAGGTGGCATGAGTGAGCGAATCACTGGGCCTGATACAATGACACATCAGTGCACAATGTAATGCATTGAGATTAAGGACCTCATAATAATAATAATCTTCCCAGGTTGATGAAATGACACTAGACTGTTGCACCAACAGTAAACACCAGAAATCAAACTCAAAGAGAACGTAATTCATACAAATATTACTGAAGTTTTCATAACACCATGTTTTTTTTTTTTCCATAGTCCAGATATTTTTTTATCAACTCGGCATTTCCACACATGTAAGAAAACCAGGCAGGCTCAGAGAGTATATACTGCAATATCAGACAGTGAGGTTAGAGAGAGAGATAGAGAGAGATGGAGGATATATTTACAGCACACCGAGTAAAAATGATACTGTGTGATGATGTGTGTGTGTATGATAGTGTAACACTGAGGTGGTGAGTGTGTGTGTGTATCTGTCAGTGATATTGCAGGGTTGCATGGTTTAAATTAAATTTTAAGAATTTAAGACACTTTATGTTCGGTGTGTGTTTGCATGCATGCCTGTTATGAGTTTGTGTCTTTCGATGGTTTTGGGAGCAGACCATGTGTCCTGAAAGTTCATGCATGCACATATCACTGTGCAACATGTGCCAGAGTACATCTGGACCGATTGAAAGGAATCATGGGAGACGAGGAAAGTGTGGTCACTGTCATATTGCCTCTTTTTATTATTTATGTCTCATCAAGTGTGTTTGCTCATGTGTCATTATGGTAATGGAGAAATAGTATGTCTGTGTGTGTGTGTGTGTGTGTGTGTGTGTGTGTGTGTGTGTGTGTGTGAATAC